CCTTCTCCTCCATTCTCCTCTTGGGATCTTGGGCACGCACGCACAAGCGCCCGGTGTGAGTTTTAAGCCACCAGGTCCAGGACTCGAACCGTGATCAACTACATGGGAGTCCAGTGATGCAGCCATTACGCTAACTGCTGGTCCCGTGTGTGACATTTCAAGGCCCTTCTTCCCCTGCTTCTTCCTCCTCTAGCTCCCAGTAAACAATGCAGCCATTGCAGACAAACCTAGACATGGATCCTGAGATGTCCTAGCTTCCTCGTGTCTTCATGAAGGCTGTTCCTTGTTCCCACTGGGTAAACTCCTATGCACACTTCGGAACCCTACTTTAGTGCTCTTCCTGTGAACTCCAGGACCTGGCAACTTTCTTTGTCTCTCTCTCTGTCTCTCTGGTGATCACATGTGCCCTATAGCACTTTTTTATAATAAAATTAATTAATAAAATTAAATTTTAATTAAATTTTAAAATTTTATTTGCTGTTATTATTATTATTTTATTTGACCAGAGAGAGTGAGAGAAAGGGAAAGTCAGAAAGCAAGCCACCCGGTCAGGGACTCCAACTGCAGTCAGCCATGTGTGAATCCAGCACCTTAATCACCACGCCACCTACCAGCCCATAAATAGTTTTGTGGTTTTTCTTTTCTTTTTTTTTTTTTTTTAAATAAAAATAGGGACCAGCAGATGGCATAATGGCTACAATGCTGGACTCCCACATGGTTGTCCATGGCTCTAGTCCTGAACTTGGCTTCTTGAAACTCATGCCAGACATGTGGGCATGTGCGCCCAACATCTCAAGAGAAGAATGGAGGAGAAAGGATTGTGGTGTGGCCATCCCCCTGGGCTTGATCTCTTTCTGTCTGTCTCTCCCTGTCTGGCAAGTATATGAGCCCTATAGCACAACTCTCCCTTTAAATAAATAAATAAAAATTAAAAAGCCATGACTTTATGACATTCTACAGCCTCTGGCTCAGTGGCTTTTGTCATCTTGTGTTCTATTTCAGCACGCTGAATTTCTCGTTCCTCAAAAGCATCATTCTCCTGCTTCCAGGCCTGTGCAGGGGCCGCTGCCTGGGACGCCCTTCTGCTTCCTGCTACACCTGCTGCTGTTCACAGCCATACTCCAAGCTAAGGCACGTGGCTTCTCTGGGCTTCCCCACTTCCTGGGAACCCGTAACAGCAGGGCTGGTGCCTTTGCATAGGCTGTTCCCTCTTTCTGGAACGCTCTTCTTCTCCCTCCTGGGTGATTCACATTGGTCCCTTAGGTCTCAACTCAGAATTCTTCAGGAATCCTCTCTGCTCTCACCTACCCCCACGTCTGGGCTTTGCCGAGCAAGCCCGAGGGGTTCCTCCATCACAGATCACTCTGAACTGTCACTGTCTGTCACTGTGTCTTTCTCCCTCAATGGACTCCAAGCCCTAAGTGACCAGGGACTGATGGGGCTGCCCTGGTGTCTGCTGGGTCACAGGCATAAATATAACATCTGGCAAATGAATGACTTATAAAAAAAAAAAAGATTTTTCTTTTTTTTTGGAGAAGTTTTTGCTATAGGGCGTGTGCACGCGCCAGAAAGACAGAGAGAGAGAGACATAGAGACAGAAAGCGAGAAATCACCCCCCCAGGGGGGATGGCCACGCCACAATGCCTTCTCCTCCATTCTCCTCAAGGGATCTTGGGCACGCACGCACACGCGCCCGGCGTGAGTTTTAAGCCACCAGGTCCGGGACGCAAACTGCAGTAGACTACGTGGGAGTCCAGCGACATAGCCATTACGCTAACTGCTGGTTCCCCCCGCCCCCAAAAAAAAGATTTCTATTCAAGTACTTTAAAAATAACAATAGGGTCCAGCAGGTGGTCTGGTGGTTAAGAGCACTGGACTCCCATATGGTTGACCATGGTTCTGGTCCCGGACCTGGCGTCTTGTTTTCTCACTTTCCCTCTCTCTCTCTCTCTTTTTCTCTCTCCTCTCCCTCTCTCTCAGTCTCTCTGGTGACTGCACATGCTCCATAGCAAAATTTTAAAATAATAATAAGAATAACATATATATATATATATATATATGTCGTTAGACTCTCATGTAGTCGACCACAGTTCGAGTCCCAGGCCCGGTGGCTTAAACTCACGCCGGACGCATGTGCGTGCGTGCCCAAGATCCCTTGAGGAGAATGGAGGAGAAGGCATTGTGGCGTGGCCATCCCCCCTGGGGGGGTGATTTCTCGCTTTTTGTCTCTCTGTCTCTGTCCTTCTGGCGAGTGTACGCGCCCTATAGCAAAAAAACCTCTCCTCCCCCAAAAAATAAAAAACAACAACAACAACAAAAAGAATTTGAAGCCAGGTGATTGGACTCAGAGCTTGAATTTTCTGTTTTTTACAGAATTATCTGGTTTTTTTTTTTTTTTACTATTTTTTTATTTGCTACTGGGCACATGTGCTCACGGGGGCTGGGGCGGGGGGCGGTGAGACAGCAAGCTACCAGATCCAGGACTCGAACTGCAGTTAGCCATGTGGAAATCCAGTGCTTCAACCACCACACCACCTGCTGGCCCCAGAGCTAGTGTGTGTGTTTTTACTTTTTTAGAGAGAGATTTTTGCTATAGGGCACACACTTGCTGGAGAGACAGAAAGAGAGAAACCTCCCCCAGGGAGGATGGCCACCCTACAATTCCATCTCCTCTCGGAATCATGGGCACACACACACACTTGCCCAGCATGAGATTTTATTTTTTTGTATTTATTTATTAATTTTGGAGAGGTTTTTGCTATAGGGCATGTGCGCTTGCCAGAAAGACAGAGAGACAGAAAGCGAAAATCAACCCGATGGCCACGCCGCGCTCCCTTCTACTCCATTTTCCTCTCGGGATCTGGGGAATACATGCACACGCACCCAGTGTGAGTTTAAGCCACCAGGTCCAGGACTCAAACTGCGGTGGACTACATGGGAGTCCAGCGACATAGCCATTACGCCAACTGCCGGTCCTGAGATTTTAGTTTTTTAAGAGATTTTTGCTAGACAGAGAGACAGAAAGTGAGAAATCACCTCCTGGGGGGATGGCCAGGCCACAGTCCCTTCTCCTCCAGTCTCCTCTCAGGATTTTGGGCACACGTGCCTGCAGTGAGTTTTAAGCTGCCAGGTCCAGGACTCAAACCATGGTCCACTACGTGGGAGTCCAGAAACATAACCATTATGCCATCTGCTGGTCCCCTAGAGCTTATTTTTTTTGTTTTGTTTTGTTTTTTAAAGAGAGGCTTTTGCTGTAGGGCGTATGTGCTCACCAGAAAGACAGAGAGAGAACTCATCCCTCAGAGAGAATGGCCACACCACAATCCCTTCTCCTCCATTCTCCTCTTAGGATCTGGTGTGAGTTTAAGCCACCCAATCCAGAACTTGAACCACAGTCAACTACAGGGGTGTCCAGTGATGTAGCCATTATGCCACCTGCTGGTTCCTCTCGCCCCACCCCCACAGCTTGTGTTTTTAACAGTTATTCAGAATACTTCTCACGATGCTCTAGGCTTGGAATTACACATCTTAGGTCTGGGTGCATTTTCCCCACTAGAGCTCAAGGCTTCCCAGGGCAGGGCCCAGATTGGCTGCAACCCTCAGCGACCAGCATTTAGACTACAACCAGGCTCTGGGGATGTGATGAGTAGATGGATCCACAAATAAATGAACTAGCAAATGAGTGAGTGACCCAAGGGGCCCCACTCACCCTCGATGAGCCACTCGCAGTTGCCATTGACGCTGTAGTTGCCAGCTCCATCCGTCACGAAGCCTGGCGCCTCCCGCAGCACCTGCCGCTGTCCCTTACAGTCCCCCGCCTGGGCCCTGGGGGACAGCGACCCCAGCATGGCCAGGGCCAGGGTTGCAGCCAGACCCCAGCCCAGGGCCATTACCGCCTCCCGCAATGACCCTCAGAGACCGGACCGGCAGTACTGATGCGAAGAGGACCCAAATGCGACCTCTACAGGCGTAGCATGGGCTTGTGGACCAGGGAGGTCCAGCGGATGCAGTTCCGGCCAAGGAAACGGCCGCTGTAGACCCGCTCGGAAGCGGCGGGCTCTATAGACCCATGGATGGCCCTGTATAGGGGGACACTATGGACGACACCGACCTCTAAGGACCGTGGGGGTCCCTTACAGACACGGGCTCCCATAGAGGGGGCCGATCCCATAAACGGTGTCCAGCGGTTACAGACTCAGGCCCCTGCAGGCCAAAACGGACCTTACGGATGGTGGGTCCCCAAAGGGAGAAGGGCGCTCCAGCCCGGCAGGAGCCTCCCTGTATAGGGGGACACTATGGACGACACCGACCTCTAAGGACCGTGGGGGTCCCTTACAGACACGGGCTCCCATAGAGGGGGCCGATCCCATAAACGGTGTCCAGCGGTTACAGACTCAGGCCCCTGCAGGCCAAAACGGACCTTACGGATGGTGGGTCCCCAAAGGGAGAAGGGCGCTCCAGCCCGGCAGGAGCCTCCATAGAGGATGCAAGCCAGGACAAGCCGGGCCCGAACCGACCCCGAGAGACTCCTCCAGCCGAGGACAGGGTGCCAGCGGGTGCGGGGAGGGAAGCTCGTCTTCGGAGGCTTGGGCTCGGGCCGGACCTCATAGACGCACTCTCCCTGCTCACCCACCGCGCCTCCCTCCCAACCCGGATGGGCCAGATCAGAGAGACGAGGGGATGCTCGGGCCAGAGCGGCCCGAGAAGACCCGGGGGGAGGGCGAGGGGGCGGGAGCCGAGCGGCCGCACTGGGAGAACGGACAGAGGAGACGAGAAGTCGAGGAGCAGCAGGGCAGAGCGGCCCTGGGAGGACTGCGGAGCGCCCAAACCCCACACGTCTGTAAGGAAGACTTCCGGAAACTTCCCTGCCCATTTCTTTCCCACCCGCATGCGCAGCAAGAACCTCCTGGGCCTACGGAGAGATTCACACATGCGCAGTGCTAAGATCGTAGCCCAAACTCGGGGTGCCGGTGGCAGAGCAAAGCATGTTCCACTGGAGGGCGCCTCTGCCTCTGACTGAGGAAGGGAAGGTAAAAGTAAAGCTGTGGTGCGTTAAGAGCGCTCTCTAGATACCATGCACACTGAGGTCCTCAGCCTGTAAGGATTCCTGCTCAGCTCCACCGCGGAGCACCATCAAGATGTAAAAAGAGAGACCAGCAGTTAGCGTAATGGCTATGTCGCTGGACTCCCATGTAATTGTCCGCGGTTCGAGTACCGGACCCGGTGGCTTAAACTCACGCCGGGCGCGTGTGCGTGCGTGCCCAAGATCCCGAGAGGAGAATGGAGAAGAAGGGATCGCGGCGTGGCCATCCCCCCTGGTGCGTGATTTCTCGCTTTCTGTCTCTCTGTCTCTGTCTCTGTCTGGCGAGCGCACGCGCCCTATAGCAAAAACCTCTCCAAAAAAAACAAAAAGTAAGAAGAAACTTTGTAATAGATAAAAAAACTCAACGAATCCTCTTTATTTTGGCAAGAAGGGAAGAAGTCTTTCCGCCAGGGACCCGAGGGAAGGCCCCCCCGAATGGAAACAGGGTCGGACAGAGCACGGGTCCGAGGTCACATATCCGAGGGATTCGGAGTCGAGACCAGCTTCACGATATCCGTCCACAGAGCAATGGCTCGGGGTCGTGGAGTCCTGGAGCGTCACAAGCAGGGTCCCGGCAGTCGTCATGGGTGTTCCGGAGTCCAGCGGGGTCAGAGGTGTCGAAGGGGGCCAGGGGGCCGGAGGTCACGGAACAGCGGGAGCCCGGAATCCGGCGCCGCTCGGGGCAGGGGCTGAGGGAGGGGACGGGGAGAGCGGCTCCCGCGGGACCGTTTGGCACAGAAGGGAAGGGGCGGGACGCAGCGAACCCCACGGGGCGCCTGGTGTGGGGAGGGGCGGGAGCCGGGATGGCCGAGCCCTGGGACCGGGACTGGGCGGCGGCCGGGCCGGGTGCGCGGCCCCTGGGACGGGCACGGGGCTGGCAGGGGTGCTCAGACCGGGGGCGCGGTGCCCCCGGCCGTGTGCATGCTGAAGTACTCGGTGAAGCCGGTGTGCGGCGCAGCCGTCTGGGGCACCAGCGGCTGGGGGGGGGGG